AAACCCAACAGGGATTTATAAAGTACACGTGTAGAACTATGTTATTTTATACAAGTTAAAACCCATTTAGCCAAATTTTGGTGAGCGTTTTACCATCTGCATGATATGCCTAATATACCTACTCGTACATACACAATTTGACAATAATCAATCCAGTAGTTTTGGAAATTATATGTCTAATAGAAATCGACAGACGTATAGACAGACGACAGGCAGACGGAAACAGGGGATTACTTTTTTCGTATTCTAGAGGTCATGAAATGTTTGAAAAACATGAAACTGGTAAGTGCGTCATATTTGCAGTCTACTAATTTAAGCTTTCCCTTTCAAGTTAAAAATAATGGCGTTTACAGAATTTCAGTATCTCTATCCGTTCTCAAGACATAAGGCTGCGGAGTTTTAACTGGAACACCTGTAGGTATATGCGTCGTATTTACAATAATCCAAATAACATATTGAAATAAGCTCTCTTCAAGCTAAAAGCAACGGCATTTACAGAATTCCTTCTGTCAGTTTTCACGATATAAGGCGGCGCAGTTTTATCAGGGACACCTGTATATTAATAGCCATTATATGTAGTAATTAATTTTACGAAGGTTTTCTTTTGTTGTAAAATTTAATTAAAATCCCATTGTGCAGAACACGGCATTTTTCAAAATGTAAACAATTACATTTGATAGTTTCACAAAAGTATTCACGATAGGTAATAATATTAAATTAAAGTTGTTTTTTTCACGAAGGTGGAATCTTTATTGATGTAAATACTTCCAAGCTGAATTATATTATAATTTATGTTATAATTTATTAGTTATTATTGACTTGATTTAAAAAAACTCAGAACACAAAATTGAAGAGATTTAACATCTCAAAATGGAGTTTTTGTCCATTGTAGACCTTTTGTTTCGAACCAGTTCACACACTGCCACTTTAATTAGTAAGCACAAAAAGTGAAGTCATAAAAACATTCATAATTGCTGTTTTAAGCATTAACAGAAATGTTGTGACGTTAGTACTTAAAGAGAAATAATTTTCAATAAATAATTCTGACAGAAAAATGTGAATTGTCAGAAAACCCGAAAATAAAATTGCCCTGTTTCAGAATTTTTACAAAAACTATTTGTAATGTAGGTATAGTTAAATATAAAAATGTTCTGTAAATTTTAAAATGTTGTTATAAGTACTTACAATTTTAATTTTTTCGAAAAATCTGGATGTCTAAGGTAAAAATTTAACACGAATCCATAAACCACAAATCCAGGAGAAGAGTATTTGTTGATCACACTGTATTAGTAAATACAATTAAAGAAAAATATGTAAGGGGAAACTTTTTATTTTAAGGTTAATTTTGAATTCCCGATATAAGTGTTTTGTCAAATTTGGGAGCTAATGTTGTACCTATTTTTAATAAAGATGCTAATTAAATTAATTTGGCAAACTAAACTCGGAGTTTGTGTACACTATACGTTATCAAACCCTGAAATAGTGTAATGTGTTTGTCGACAACTTTTGCATGAAGTCTTTAAGTCTATTCAATTAATAAACATAAATATGAGTAAGTTTTCTAGCGATTTAACAAGTTTATGTGTACAGCTGCGCGATATTGTTTTGAAATAGCATATACCTCACCTACTCAGCGATAACACCTTCGCTATCACATTCATGTTTTTTTTTTGTTATTTGCTTACCTTCATTTTTAGATTACAATAGTGAAATAAACTACCTACGTGTTTAGCGTGTGTGGATCCATGTAATAAAATCATTTTACATTCAATCATTGTTAATAAACAAAAATATTTTTTGTTGAACTGACAGCATATATCCTAATTATTAAATATGATTTAGCCGACGCAACTCTAAAAAAGGCTCTTTTTCCAAAATTAGATCTTTCGTTTTTAAATAACCGATCAAATACGCAATTTTATAGATAAAAGAATAACACTGAAGTGTAATAATAAATCTCCCAAGATATATTTTGTGACGTCATCAGCGTTTTGAAAGGGATATACAGTTGCCGGAAAATATCCGGTTAGGGGGAAGTTGGTGAATCGTGCGCGTCTGCTAATGGTGCGCACCCCGCTAACTGCAAATCAAATAATTTAAATTTTAAAATAAGTACATAGTGCTATCAATTAGAATCACTTGTAACGGCTAAAACAGTTTTTAATCATTTTCTGAAATATCCACATTCAATATGGCGCCATTAGCGATTCCCGGGTTTTTTAAGTAATTGTCGTATAGTTGAAAATAAGCTGTAAGTACTGTATTTTACGATTTATTTTAATCATTTTTATCTCAATCGAAAGCTAGTCTTTCATACTACAAATTTTAATTATTGATAGTATTGAGTTAATTATTGGTTTATTCTTATAAATTTTTAATATCAAAAGAAATTTATCGGCAAATAGTGCGCAGTGCGCACATTTTGCCGACACCCTTTTACAGAATTTAATTTTACTGGTTAACAATTTTAGATGTTCAAGTATATTCGTAAAACAAACAAGGCAGGGTGTTGTAATGAAAAATGCGATTTGTACGAAATGGAAACAGTATTAGAGGGGTGGGTCGAAAATGTGGAATACCAGAATCATCTGTACGCAAAGCATTAAAAGCTTTAAATGAAGGGCTTGATATAAAAGACCCTTGTTTAGGAAGGTGTCATATTTTTCCTCAAAATGAAGAAAAGGAATTGACGAAACATGTTTTAAAATTTGCCTATACTGTGGAGATAGGAGTAAAAAAACAGAACATTGGTTGTAGTGCCAAACCTATACAAAGTGGGCACATGCTCTTTGCAGTGGATGGGACACTGCAGAGGGGTATATTTGTGACTTTTGTGACAAGTGACCTTTCTGTTGTTTATTGTTCTGTTTTTGATTATATTTTTTTTATATATAAATTTTTCATAATGTTGTAATACTTCATGATTTTATTTTAAGTATTAATAAACATTTTTCATAGTTAAGAAACAAATATTTTCTTTGTCGGGTTAAGGCCTCGCCACATAGGCTGTGCTATGCTATGCTCATATTAAAACGTTATGTCTATGCTATGTAAAAAATACATTCACATAGCATGAACATGACATACAGTCACAGGTGGTGTTCACAACAGCCATGCCATAGAATAGTAGCAATTGGTAGCATAGCATAGTAGATGTGTGTTTATAAATAGTTATTAGTAAAAGCAGTGGTGAGTAAAAGTGGTCGTTCATTTTGAAACTTGTTGGTGTAGCTGACAATCTTAAATAAAAAAATTCACGAAGAGAACCTGATCGAATTACTTAAACTTTATTATTATTATGTGCAATATGCAGTGCAATATAGAAATACAATTTATAAAAGAAGAAAATTGAGAAGGCTTAGGTTAGAAGTTTGAATTTTCTCTAGACGCGCATGAGCCAAAAACCAAACATTACACAGAAGTAGGATTCCATTCTACTTTCATGCTATGTCGGATTATTTCGAGCTGTGTAATGTCTATGCTAGTTCTGTGTAAAAAGTACATAAAGCATAACATAATGGCTATGTGAACACTCTCATTTAAATGTATTGTGTCTACTTCTATGTTTTTCATTAACATAGCATAGCACAGCCTATGTGGCGAGGCCTTTATAAGAATGGTAGTCAAATGTTTGCGCACCATTAACAGACGCTTGCGCACCATTACCAATCTGGGTCTGATAATCATGCGCAACGCAACCTTTTACATTTTAAATAATAACTACGGACTGTTTAATAAGAATTTATTGAATATTAGGTATGTTGTAAAGAACATATATGGCTATGCTCATACTTAATTTTATAACTTAATCTTTAATAATTCACAAATTACAAGCAAATTGGCTTAGGTGCGCACAATTCACCAACTTCCCCCTAAATATGCAGCTATTCAGGTTATTTTTGAAAATAGCCCGCTATTTAACAACACCACCTGAACTTCAGAAAACTTATAAGCAGTATGCAAAAATACTCATACGTCAACTTTTTTCCATATAAACAAATAATTGTTAATAAGTCACTATGTTTCAAAGAAATAAACTGTAAACTTTAAACATGAGACGTGTTTTAATTTGTTGTAATTTTTTTTTTTGAGATACCTTTTTCAAATGTTTGATATGTGACTGATGTTAATTTTAGAACAGTATACAAATGAATAAAAAAAATATTTTCTATAAATTTCTTTAATGAATAATATTATCAATCCAAGTAGCACAAAATATAAATGTAAAACCAAACTACTATAAAACATATCAACAAAATTATTTGTTCTGAACTGTATTCAAAATTGTATGACAGCATGTTGTTCATAGAATTAATGTTGTTGAAGAGTTCGTTCTATCGTTGTCGCTCAAAAATGGCACTACCGTGAATTTTAAAATTTTTGAGATTTTTTAGGAAAAATAAAACTTTGACCATTATTCAATAACAAATACTTGCTAATTTATGGGGAAAACATACTTTAACTGTTATTTAATTAAAACCGTTAAATGTTCATAACAACAAAAAAAAAACACCAAAAAACGTTTTAAAACAAAAAAACGAACCCATTTAATAAAAAACGGTTTTTTAACACCTCTAAGTTCCACGTGAAGACCAGCAGTGCTTGTTCTCAATATAGATTTGAAACTGACTATATTTTAAAATTGGCGCGAAACACCGGCGTCATCTTCACAGAAAATTTCAAAACTACTTCAAAATTTGTACACAAAAAATTTACGAAAAATTCACAGCGTTGTGAATTAAATTATTTGATGTTGCAGGTAATCACCAAAAACATAGCATACATAACATAAATAATATATTGAATTGGAAGTTTGTTTCAGAAACATGGGTCAAAAATGTCATGTAAATTTTTGAATGATTTAAAATAGCTCATTATGAATTTCCATAAAACTAAAGACCTACTTATTACAGCTACTAGTTCAGTTTATTAACGAAATGGAGAAATATTCCCACCTTTGTCACAGTAGACCTTTGTTCTGTCAAATAAAAATGCATCTATTAATCAAGTAGGAAAGTATTTATTTATATTATGAAATGAACACAAAGTTACAATGACCTATATTATAAATGTAGTTACGTACTAAACATATTACCTCTAAATACATTAAACAAAAAAAAATTTAAAGGACAAGGCACATTAAAAGAAAACTATGATATTACTTAAAATTGAAGACAAAAGTGAAAAACCGCCCCATTTCGGCAGTACCCAAACTTCAAATTTCAATAACAAATCATTTAGAATTTCAAGACGGCTGCAAACGCCTGAACGCATTTGCATCAAACATGTGCCCAACAATATTAAAACACATCATCGACACATAAGTCTTTTCTACAACTACGATAACACTTTAAGCTGGCTGCGAGTGGGCGCCTTTCTTTCCGATCAGCGACTTGTGGATGTGCGGTATGACACCACCTCCTGCGATTGTGGCCTTGATCAGGCTGTCCAGCTCTTCGTCTCCTCTGATGGCCAACTGCAAGTGGCGCGGGGTGATTCTCTTCACCTTCAAGTCCTTACTGGCGTTCCCGGCCAACTCCAACACCTGTGTTAAAAAAAAATGACACTTGGAATAGCTAACCTACAAACGCACTTACCTCCGCTGTCAAATACTCTAAAATCGCCGCCGAATACACGGCCGCCGTGGCCCCCACGCGTCCGTGGCTAGTGGTGCGGTTCTTCAGGTGTCTGTGGATCCTGCCGACGGGGAACTGCCACAAAACAACAACGACAGGTTAACCTAACCTAACTAATCCCGGTGCGCGACCTCCGAACGACTATTGCAAAAAGTGACGAAAGTGCTGACATTACCTGCAATCCGGCCCTGGCCGAGCGGGATACCGCTTTGGCTTTGGCTTTGCCTGAATCCTTGCCTGCTTTGCCGCCAGCCTGAAAAAAATAAAAATACACTTTGTGGGCAGGTTATTGCACCGATATTTTCATTACCGGGTTCGTGGGTGCGGCATTTTGTGGTATGCAACGTGTTGGAGTGTTTTGTGAACGGTAACAGGCTAAAATTACTCACCATTTTCTATAGACGCCACTAACGCTTTCACTGCACGACTATTACAACGGCTTCTCTCAACGTAGCCCGCCAAATGATAAATTTTAACCTATTAGAGGGTGTTTGTATGTCACGTGACCCGAACTGGCCAATCGGAAAAGCATAATGATGCGGCTAGAAGTGATGACTATCGATTGGGTGACTGGTACGCTTGGCTTGGGTTTTTCAACCTTGAAAAATTAAAATTTGGAGGGAAATACCGATCGAGGGATTAATTAGTAATTAATTAATTATGATCGAGTAAAGTGGAACGATGCACTTCGATACACCGAAGCGTAATTACTTTAATATGTACTTTGAATAACGGAATGTATTACTTGGAAATATTTATTATTCTGAGATATTTAAAAAAAAACACCGTTTTCTTACAATAACGTTACAAGATTCTAATTAGATTAAGTACAAAATGTTACGAAGGCGTTGGCGTCCGCAGACCATAACCATATGGTAACACGTTTACGTGTGTTTATCGTTGTTTTAACTCGAACGATCACAATTTAAACTGTCGGTTACTAAAGACAAAACCACACGTCTTCCTTTCCTTTATGGAATATTACAGGCATGAGTTGCTGCTTCGTCGTAAACGAAAAACCTTATTAGCCAAACATCGATAACAGTATAACGGTCATTACCATGGTGATTGCAAGCACCTTCATTCAGGGATGTTAAAAAACAGGGTCGCTAAAATAAAATCCACTCATTATTATGTATACCTATATTATTATTATAACTTTTTATTTTCTGTTGTCTAAAAGAATAGTTTCATGCTGCAGTAAAACTTGAAATGTTTCCGTTTAGGAATTTGAAGAATCAAAAAACTGCATTTTTCTTTCGTACTAATAAGGTTTGCCCTCCCACGCAAATCACTAATAAGTTTAATATTCATCATTCATATTTCAAAGACTGTTTTAAAGTTGTTGGAATTAACTGATTCTTGAGAAAACGGGACGGAACACTTCCACTTGTTGACAATATTTTTACATATCGAAATACTTATTTCTCGTAAATGCACTTTACGGTCATAGATTCGCAGGTGTCACAGTAAAACCACTATCTCTTACCATCTAAATTGTTGAATTATATACATAAAAAGGTGTATAGACTGAAACTTTCACTGTATTTTACATTAAAATATACAGGGAGATATGAATAAGCGCGCATATCTCGATATCTCATTAACTTTGAGACACAGTAGCAATGAGGACATGGGATCCGCCGCGAAATTCACAAAATGGGGTCCTTTTGTATTGTATACAGATGTTATTTAAGTATTATTAGTATTATTTATTATTTTCAGTTTTTCCGGCGACATTGGCGTAGTGGAACGTTATTTTTACATGACTTCCCTCGCCAATGCCCCGCCCTTGAAGTATAGTCCGACAAATTCCGCTTCTTCTGGTTTTTCCAATTTCATTTTAAATTGTAGGAGTAAAATATTGTTATACAATGTTGCTTTTTTTTCCAAAAATCTGGATGCTAAGGGCAAAAAGTCAACACGGACTCATAAATCATACATGCAGGACTATGTTATTTTTTTAAATTTAAAGAACATTTGTTCGGTAGAATTCTAAATTGACGTCATAATTTTTTGGAAAAGCCTTAATTGAACAAATTTTGATTAATGATTTATTATCTTTCCTCTAACATTAAAACGTTTGGAATATTTCAATACCTACATTCGGTTTTGCAATTTTAAAATTAAATTGTAAAATTCGATTTTGGATTTTTTACCTAAAATCTCGATGTCTAGGAGAAAACCCAACACAGATTCTAAATTACACATACATGGAGTATGTAATTCTATAAAACTTAAAAAACATTTGTTCTGTAAAATTATAAAATGACGTCATCATTTTTTAGGAGGCCATAAATGAAAAAATGTTATTAACGGTTTACCATGCTTACAATAATCTTAAAAAGCAAGCTTTCAAGATATTAGGTACATGTTGTTATACAATTTTGATTTTTTTTTTCTCAAAAATCTGGATATCTAGGGTGAAAACTCGACACGGATTAATGAATCACACATGCAGGAGTATGCAATCCTAAGTAAGTAAAATGGTACGTTTCACCCCATATTTTGTACTTTAATGTGTTGCAAGGTGCTTTATCTTTTTTTTTTTAAGAAAATCGGCCAATTTTGACGTTGAAAAGGTTTTTTATTTTTTTGTAAAAATCTCAAAGTCAGCGGCTTCTATATGGATCCGCTAGAAATATGGTCAAAACCTTTAGAAATCCACAACTTTTGAAAAAATAACTTTAAAAATGGGGTGAAATGTTAAAAATGCATTTATAAAAAAACTTCACGATAAAAATGATCTCTTTTTATTTTATAAAAAACAATAAAAAACTTCAACGTCACAACTGATCAGTTTGCGTAAAAGAGAATGATACAGTACCTTAAAATAGATGAAAAAAAATGTGGGGTGAAACGTACCATTTTAGTTTCTACTGGTTTCAATTTAGAAATTTCATCTAGAACGTCCGAACCTTAAACCCGAGTCATTTAGATGAGAATGAAATTTGAAATACAAATAATGCTTTTGGAATCACCAAAATTTATATTTGGTGAATATAAATATTAAAGAATATTTATTCGGCAAAATTCTAAAATGATGTCAGGGGGCCATAAACGAAAACAAATTTGTTAACGGTTTACCATGCTTACGATAACTTAAAACGTTTGCAAAATTTCAAAGCATTCGATTTTTCTGGAAAAATCTGGATGTTTAGAATAAAATTTTAACAGGGGTTCATAAACCACATGTGTAGGAGTATCTTATTTTATAAAATTTAAATAAAATTTACTATTGTAAATTTTGGAGATAACGTCAACCAATTGTTGGTAGGGATGATTAGCCAAATTTTGATTAATATCTAAAAAATTTGACAATCTCTTTATAATAAAAATCCGAACAGACGGCAGACATTCAGACAGACAGACAGCCAGACAGACGGAAACGGAAGACCTCTTGCTTCATACTAAGTTAACACTGTAAAAAGATGCTCTTATTTAATATTTACATATAATAGTTTTTATGCGTCTGTTATACTGTCAGGAATAATTGCACTTGTAATTGTAACATCCTGGATATGTGAAAAATGTAAATAATTGTTTCATAAAAAAATGTAGACTGAAATTTCCCGGTGCCCTGGCGGCACAATCCGACACTGCACAGTAGTAACATAGAGCCTAGTTTTTTTTTTATATAAAATACCGACACAGCACTGCCAGGTTACAGGTTGAAAAACCGAAATATGACTATCTAAAAATTATAATACTCTACCAGACAAAAAAACCCGGTCAACTGAATTTTTTGTGATTACCTGCAATTGGTAGAACTTTTGTAAAAAATATTCCAAAAAGCAAAACATTAATAAATTCATTAACAAAAAACATAACTTTGTACTAAAACATGTGGAAAAAGAAAAAAAAAAAAGTTATAACACTAAATATTAGCGTAAAGTTACAAACATCACTAAGGCAAAACTTTATTGTTAATACAACAAAGTGCATAGCTTCGTTTATCTATCCATAAAGTATTACAGCACAAATAATCTCCTTACGATTTTTTCATGAAGTCTTGCATTGGTAGAAACATTCAATAAAGTTGGGATAAGTTCACAACATTGCATGAGAATTTCCCCTAAGAAGGGATCAATCAGAGCATGAGGGAATATATACCTCCCTAAGTTGTTTCAAAAAGTAATATTGCACCACAAAAACAGAACATCTGCAGAATTTTAAAACTGTAACAAGATTTGAAAAAAATCTAAACTGCTTCCAAAAATGGTTTTAAGTAATGCAGTCAGTACATAAACAAACTGTTCAACTTGATTTTTTCGAAAAATTAATGTGGTTAATCAACAATCAATTTTGACAATAATTGACAATACATACAAAAAATTTACTTTAAATAGTTATTTTTTATCGGCAATATATAGGTTCATTTTCTTCTTCAGATTCAAAATTCATTTCTTTTTGGTTCTATCCATAGAACGGCTAATTTCATGTTTTCTAGACGTTTTGTCACCTCTGTCTCCGTCTGTCTGTCGTCTGTCGTCTTTCGTCTATCTATTTACTGACAATTTTATTATACAAATAATCTCCGACACCACTAGATTGATTGTTATGAAATTTTACATGTATTTTATTAATATGGTGTTAGACCATAAACACTGACCAAAATTTGTCTGATCATCCCGGTCAACAATTTAATGACTTCATTTCAAAATTCTGCAAAATAAATCCCACTTAAATTTTATACATAGTGTACTCCCATATACATATATCTGTGATTTATGCAGTAGCCTTTGTTTTTGCCTTAGGGATCCAGATTTTTACAGAAAAAAAAAGTATATTATTTGATAATTTATCTTAAAAACGGTAAAACCAAATTTTCTGAAATCTTGCAAACATTTTAAAGTTATCGTAAGCATGGTGTTTATCATGCCATATCATTATTTTGGAGGAAATAAACACAAAAATTTTGATTAGCTATTTCCGTAATCAAAGTTTATGTATTTATTTTCTACAAAAACTTGATGACGTCATTTCAAAATTTTGCTGGATAAATCCAATGTAAGCTTTACATTTATAGTTTACTATTGTATACATATTTTTAGTTATAGTTTTAGTCATACAGTTATAAAGGGTAACTCAAAATAAATAAATGAATAAATGAATAAATGAATAAATGAATAAATGAATAAATGAATAAATGAATAAATGAATAAATGAATAAATGAATAAATGAATAAATGAATAAATGAATAAATGAATAAATGAATAAATGAATAAATGAATAAATGAATAAATGAATAAATGTATAAATGTATAAATGAATAAATGAATAAATGAATAAATGCATAAATGAATAAATGAATAATTGAATAAATGAATAAATGAATGAATGAATAAATGAATAAATAAATGAATAAATGAATAAACGAATAAATTAATAAATTGATGAGACCCTCGAGTTTGAAACGAATTATTGAAACTGTAAAACTATTGGCAAGAGATTTTAATCAGTATCCGTTACATTCTTTTTCTTACTTACTAAAAAGGG